AGGTGTGATTGACTTACAGTGGATCCTCCCCTCTTGTCTGTTCCATTAGGAGACCCAGAGGTGAACTGCCCCCCTCGTACACAGCTTCTGTGTGCGGCACCTTCTCAGCCAATTTGCCAATTCCCCACACAGTGAAATGACAGAACAAATAGATAACAGAAAGTGTATGTGTCATGAAAAAATGGCGCCACTGTACCCAAAATAGCCACTGTTTGCGAGAACAACCCTCCCAAAGGGAAGTGAAAGCGTGCTGCGGGATCAGACCACCGTCCCAACTGCTCCACAACCAGAACCATATAATAAACCAACAGGTCGTTTCAGCCGTTAGACAGTACATAAACTGTAACTCTCTCTCTCTCTAACCCTTCTCTGCATTCCTCCTCCACTCTTCCTCCAATTTTTTATTTGATCATATTTTTATTTGCTCACCCGAAGTTCTTGCGTCGTTTCCAGCCAAGGTCAAAAGTGAAAGTAACGCTTCACAAAAAAAGAAGTTTTTCCTAAAAAAAGAAGCGTGGGACACCTTTGGAAGCCCATTCCCGCCAATGTGGTAGAAAAATGATTCTTTAAGTCATTATAATGAGAAACTTTCTCAAAATAATATGATACTAAGTCAAATATTGAGAAAGTGACTCATTATTTTGATGCCTAGTTAATTAGCAAACTATTCATGTTTTTAATTACTTTGTCATTTTGAAGCACAATGTTCCAACTGAAAGCACGAGTTCAAACAGAAACCATCATATGAGAATCTTTATTTATATCCTGTTATTCTGGGAAGATCTGGATGAGACAGTACAAGCCATAAAAAACAAACATCAGTGTGGAGCTCACCTGAATATGAGTCCATGAATATGAGTCCATGAATATGAGTTCATGAATATGTTAGTATTTTTCATAACTTTCAAGGTGCATGCAGCTCTGATCTCCATCATCATCATCATCATCAGCAGCAGCAGCAGCAGCAGCAGGTGAGAGGTTTTTCTGAGTCAGTGCCATCTTTTAAATCACATTATGTCTTCTAGCACGCTGTTTAATGTCTCATATTT